ATGTGTGTCTATAGAAATGTTTGCATTTTGCACAAAATCAAAGTGAATGGATGATCAGATACATTGTGTGTTGATGGACTCGTTGATTAATTCCTTTAGTTGTCACGTTAACGCGATTTAACTAGATCTAAACTTGAGTCTCTTTGGATGTAGTTTTGTTCCTATTTGACTCATATAGAAATGATAAATTATTATTTTAATTGTAGTTTTTCATAGAATCTGGATGATATGTGTTCCATATTCATGAGAGCGTCATAAAAGGTCAACATTATTAATTATACAATCTTCAAGGTATTATTTTCCAACAGAATTTAGATTTGTAGGGAAGAGAATGTTTTCTTTATGAAGGAGGTTTAGATGAATATATTTAACATGGATCATACTGATTTATTAGATGATAGGTTTGTATGTAACTGTTGTTGTTGTAGGAGAACCCGGGTTATAAAGGAGAAAATGCAGAGCCGGCGTCCTCGGTGAGTCACCATTTAACTTCTTTACTGAGTCTGAAAGTGATAAAGTACATAACTACATCACTTAAAATATCAGCGCAGTAAAACTGCAGAATATTCCCCGTCTGGAGGAACCATTTCAAGGATTTCTTTTTGAAGAACCTCAGCCTCTCCCTGACCTTTGACCCCTCTGCAGATGGACAGTCGTAGCATCAAGCGCTCCCATGGCGAGAGGATCAAGTACAAGCTGGTGGCGGTGTCTCACGGGAACGACATCGCCTCGCTGTTCGAGCTCGACCCGACGACGCTGCAGAAGACGGACTCATTCGTACCACGGTAGGAAGCACACGGATGTTTCACATTAAAATACCACAGAGACGTCCTAAAAGACCCCTAGAACCTCTTCAGGGACCAGAGGAACCACCTAAACGACCCTAATGAGCTAAAGAACCCTGAGATCCACCTCAATGACCCCTAGAACCTTTAGATGAAGCAGACTAGTTGAGGTAAAGCAGACTGGTTGACGTAAAGCAGACTGGTTGACGTAAAGCAGACTGGTCGAGGTAAAGCAGACTGGTTGACGTAAAGCAGACTGGTCGAGGTAAAGCAGACTGGTTGAGGTAAAGCAGACTGGTTGACGTAAAGCAGACTGGTCGAGGTAAAGCAGACTGGTCGAGGTAAAGCAGACTGGTTGAGGTAAAGCAGACTGGTCGAGGTAAAGCAGACTGGTTGAGGTAAAGCAGACTGGTGGAGGTAAAGCAGACTGGTTGAGGTAAAGCAGACTGGTCGAGGTAAAGCAGACTGGTGGAGGTAAAGCAGACTGGTTGAGGTAAAGCAGACTGGTTGACGTAAAGCAGACTGGTGGAGGTAAAGCAGACTGGTTGAGGTAAAGCAGACTGGTGGAGGTAAAGCAGACTGGTTGAGGTAAAGCAGACTAGTTGAGGTAAAGCAGACTGGTTGACGTAAAGCAGACTGGTTGAGGTAAAGCAGACTGGTGGAGGTAAAGCAGACTGGTTGAGGTAAAGCAGACTGGTTGAGGTAAAGCAGACTGGTCGAGGTAAAGCAGACTGGTGGAGGTAAAGCAGACTGGTGGAGGTTAAGCAGACTGGTTTAGATAAAGCGTGCTCGTTGTCTCCCAGGAACTCGTTTGTACGACTGAGACATCTGTGCACCAACACCTGGATCCAGAGCACCAACGTCCCCATCGACATCGACGAGGAGAGACCCATCAGACTCATGGTGAGTCAGCTCAAGTTAAAAAAAAGGCTTTGAATTGATTCTTTTGATGAAAGACGTTAAACTTTAGTGCTTCACACATTTTAATTTAGTGTCATGAACATCAGACCAGAAGTTTATTTTTAATCCTGCTGACTAACACACTACAAACTGGTGATCATCAAAATGCAGAACTTTCTGTTAATTGGCTCATCGATTCATTGGTTTGATTGTTCTGTTATTAATTGTTCTATTATTAATTGTTCTAGTATTGATTGTTCTATTATTGATTGTTCTGTTATTAATTGGTCCGTTATTGATTGTTTGTCTTTAATAATTAGTATCGTACTGTCAACTGTACAAAAAGCTGGTTTGGAATCACTGGTCAGATTCATGACTTATTTTTTTCTATAATTTTCACAATTTTAAACAATTAAAACTTTATTTATCAGCTTGTGTTTTAACATTTAACATTCCAGAACCTCAGTTTATGTTTCTATTTCTATCTTAGTATTGGTGAGGTAATAATGTATTTTCTTTTAGAAACAATTATTTGTTTTTCTTGAGTTTATCAGAGCTGGAGTTGCTCTCCGTCAGTGTGTGAAGTGTATATTAATAATAGTAATGAATGATATTATTAATGATAGTAAGTAACACAACTCGTCCTGCAGTTAGGAACGTGTCCAACGAAAGAGGACAAGGAGGCGTTTGCGATCGTCTCCGTTCCCGTGATGGAGATCAGAGATCTGGACTTTGCCAACGATGCCAGCGCCATGCTGAGCACCGTGGTGGACCAGTTCAGCCAGGGCTTCATCAGCCAGAACGACCGGCGGTACGACTCCGTGTGCGTGTGTGTGTGTGTGTGTGTGTGTGTGTGTGATAAGGGAGTGTTGCTAGTGTATCTGTTTGTGAATTTAGGAACTAATTTGATGTCTGTACATGTTTGCATCGAAATATAATAGTTTATTGAAAAATAACTTCAAGGTTAATTGTTGCCGAAATGCTCACTATTGATTTTACTTTTATTTGATCTGATTTCCACTAAAAATGGGCATAATTTAATATTCATATTCAAAAAGTCCTTTTCGGCTTAAGTGTTTCTCTGTTTAGGTCGAGGGATCACATTTTCTGAGAGTTAAAAAATCTATTTCATATCCACGTTATCCTTCGTGGTCATTAATCCATGATCACGATTAGAGTACCTCATACACGTACGAATGTGTTTAAGTGGACACAGTAATTCAAATAAATAAAAATAACTTGAATTTGGTCTGAAAACTTTCTCAGTGTGAGAAAGAAAGAAATGTTCATTTGTGAAAAATGGTCCAAATGTCTTCTTAAAAGTGGCAGATGATCCTCTTCATAGTCAAAGAATGATGTAGAAAAGAAATTAGTTGTAACAATGAAAATATATTATCTGTACAAAAGTCTTTTTGATACCATGATCATACAAAGAGGAAAGCTTTCCATCTTTTAAAGAATGAAGTAATAATGGATTTTCTGATCTCTCTTCAAATCTTAAAAGCAGACTTAACCAACTTAACATTTCTGAGCAGGGAGAGACCGAGATATTCACGGAAACATGATCAGAATCCGGCCTTGAGGAAGAGTTAATGTTCTGTGTTTTTTGACGATCAGGTTTGCCATCAAGCTGCTGGAGGACGTGGTTTTCTTCGTGGCTGACGTCATCAACAGCGGTCAGGCGGTCCTGGATGTAGTCATGACCAAAGCCAACCGAGAGAGACAGAAACTGATGAGAGAACAGAACATCCTCAAGCAGGTATGATCCCAGAGTTACTCTGGTATTTAAAAAAGAAATCACAAAGCAGAAGCAGGAAACTACCTAAAAATACCTGATTGTGTTTTCAGATCTTTGGCATCCTGAAAGCTCCCTTTAAGGACCGGGGGGGAGGGGAGGGTCCTCTGCTGCGTCTAGAGGAGCTGGCGGACCAGAAGAACTCTCCCTACCAGTACATGTTCAGACTCTGCTACCGAGTCCTCCGGCACTCCCAGGAGGACTACCGCAAGAACCAGGTGAGGAGGAAGATGATGATGAAAGTGATGGTGACGATGACCCCATTTGTCAACTACCTGTGAAATCTTATTCAATGTGTTCAGTTCAGTTGGCTTTCCTGGGTCTTTTATTGTAATTACTTTATTCTGGATAGTTTTCAAAGACCTGATTTGATGTTGATGATAATGATGATTGTTTGATTAATAAGCTGGCGAGAAGTTCTTACAATCCTTCGTAAAAGAATGTATTTTGGAGTATCTACAAAACTTAGTAAACTGCAGAGGAACACAGATAGATCGGCAGTAGCTGAAAGCTCCTAAACAGCTACTGAAGGGACCTTGAGGTGAGCTGAAGTGTTGTTTCACAAAGGAGGATAATAATGTTGGTAGAGATGCTAAGAACGATGATGGTGAAGTTCACGAGGAAGGTCGAGATGCTAAGAACGATTCTCTCTCACTGTCTGCCTCTCTGTCTCCCTCACCTTCCTCCCCCCTTTCAGGAGCATATAGCGAAGCAGTTCGGTGTGATGCAGAGTCAGATCGGTTATGACATCCTGGCTGAGGACACCATCACCGCCCTGCTGCACAACAACCGAAAACTATTAGAGAAACACATCACGAAGACCGAGGTTGAGACCTTCGTCAGCCTGGTCCGCAAGAACCGAGAGCCCAGGTACGCATGGAGGCGGGAAGCAAGG